AATTTGAGTGGGATAAATTGTCAAATCCCAGTTAGTTCTGAAAAACCAATTGATTTGGTATATATGACACTAGTAGCCTAATGCTAATAATCAGGAATTAAGCATTTTTAGTCATGTTGGCTAAGGATCACTTCAAACAAGTTATTGGCTTATGAATTATGATGCGACTTAAATTGACACCTTATATGTGACATTTGATTGTCAAGTTTTGGGTTCAGGAAAGAAGTTTGTCAAACCAAAGATTGGTAATATGTGATTTCTCATGAGATAAGATCTTTTTTCTTAGCAAACTTGGTTGCAGGCCACTGCATTTGTTCAGATGGATTGGATTTTTGCCTTAAATGAAGCAGGTCTAATTATCTAGTTTGATGCTCTAGAAGTTGGACTATAATTATTGGAACTTATCTTAGTTTTCCTCAAATCAAAATTATCTCAATGTTAGTTTCTTTATGCTCTCTTTATCGTGTATTTCATATGGTAACCTCTATTTGTTAGATCCCCAGCTACATGTCGTGTGGCGAATAATCATTCAAGATGTGGATCAGAAGCAGAGTGAGATTTCATCCAGATCAGTTGGGGACTGAATCTACCCCATCTTTAGCTATATCTGTAAGTGGAAAAAAAAAGTTTCAATTGAATCAAGTAAAATGGCTTGTGTTGGAGTTTGTTACTGGCTGGTCGAATATGGAGCTAGCCCTGACTTATTAAATGGTCAGCTCCCCCTTGGCCCTTAAACACTTGAGGCTCTTAATTTTTTGAGAAGTCCAAATTATCCTTTTTTTTCTGATCAAATCATTTAGAAAAGTGAGCACAGATCCCTTGTGTTCTAAACCTCCATTTGTTGGTTGATATATCCCACTCTTCATGTGTTCTTGATCAAATAATTTGGAAATTGAAGGCGAATTTGCTTTATGTGTGTTTAGAATCTTTAGATAAATATACATAAGAATATTTAGTACTAGCAAATGAAAAATGTCTAATATTTTGGTCCTCTGAGGAGATGCTTCACTTTTTTATGCTCCATATTAACTCAATGAGTTGATTTGTTTTGACCTTACATATGTTTATATACTTATATGCATATTACATTTAAGTGAATGAACAATGACTGAACTCTGGCCTATGAGGTGCCATGAATTGAGGCACATGGAGAAGCTTTATTCTTTAGCAATCTGGCAATTAGCAAAATGGACTAAACCCATAAAACACACCATAATTTTTTTGTTTTTGAGATATAGGAATTCTATTTGCCCTGATTTTATAGTAACTTCATTTTGCTATCTCTTCATGCCTTAAAACTCGTAACGTGCTGAATTAATCAACCACAAGCATTGACATGGAGTTACTCCTGATGATCTCATACTCTGATGTGTAGCATAATTTAGTCCCCCGTTTTTGTTATTTTCCAAAAAATATTTGCTAAAATCATTATAAGTCTGAACTTCTTAGTATTTGACACCAAAAGCACGAGACTTAATTCAGTACTGATAAGATTTTTGGAATGTAGGCTCCAATTACTGCCTGAAAACAAAAGCAAATGCAATAGGTACTATGCTCTAGCAATTGTAAGATTAGTTATTTGATGACTTTACCAAATATAGGCATCTCAAGCATGTCTTTATATGCCTTTAACTAGATTTTATACTGGAAATAGGAAATGGATCTCTTTAATTAAAGCATATCTTTAATTATCAGATGGAACCAGAAAGGGAATCTTGGAAAATCTTTTCTGCTCATGGTGTGAAAATTTAGTCTTTGTATATTTTGCACAGGCGCCAGTGCAATGTCTTCACAGATCTGTGTGTGGATGTGTGTGAGGATATGTGCTTTTCTGTCTGATGGTTTCCTTTTGTCTTTCTACTTTGGTTGCCACATATATAGCCCACCAAGGCTGGACACACCTAACAGCCAAAGGCAGTTGATCTTGCAGACTGGGTATATTACAATTATGAAATGAAGAACTTTACAAGCCATATCAGTTGGATTGTTTTTCGCAAGCAGTCTTTTAGGCTTCTGGTTGATGAAGAAATTGAAGTATTGTAAGACCTTCAAAATGGAAGTAGTTCATCTTTGGATGGTCAAGTTAGTTCTTGTTCTGACCTAAGGAGTCCTTTTTCTCCATCTCCATATTCCCTGTATCTCATGCAGCTTGTGCTCTTTCACCTTGATGATCAACTATATCAAAATTCTTCCCCTTGGTGTTTGAGTTTCACTTTTTTCTGCTAGTTCACTAAATAGTTTTCTCTTGATGTCTAGACCAAACACGTTACAACTTCTGATATGCTTCAATGCTCTTTTACAGTTGACGATGTCATACATGAAGTGATTGAGGGTCACAATGGTATGTTGGTACATATGGTATTATGATTTTACATGTATTTTCCCTTGTTCCTTTCCTCCATATCCTCCAACCCCTTTTTCAATCATGGCCGTTATACATCAACCTTTTTATGTTTGGTTTCAGGGAAATGATATGGATTCATCAAAGGGCATTTTTACTGGAACAATTCAGGAAGATGGTAAATAGTTTAAAACTCATGAATTACCGTAATCCTTATATCTGGACTGCTGAACTTATTGAGCTTTCTGGTATCAGGTTTTCAAGACCAAATCGAGTCGTAGAATGGCCACCCTTGTGGCGTCCTTTATGACCCTCTTCTTACTTGCTTATTCTTGACAAAGGAGCAGTCATAGTGTTCTTTAGATTTTTATCATTTCAAGATATCAGAGCACATGCTTTTGGTTCTGCCTATGTTCTGATGCTGGTGCTTTGTGCAATGTCTTCCCTGAAGGCATGTTTTCAATATATAAGATTTTAGGTGCTCTTGGCTAGTCTTTCTGAAACACATACAGTTCATGAATTGTGACTACTGTTAGTTGTCTTTGTAAGGAACTGTGTGCTTCTTTGTTGTCACATGATAAGTGAACTTTCGAAATGTAAATTGCAACTTTCTCTCACTTTGCAAACTTGCAACCATCTCTCTCTCTATCAATAATATATGCATCTTTCCAAGGGAGGGGTAGGACATCTGAATCCTGGAGCACCACCAGGTCAGTAAAAAAGACCCTCACTTCCCTGAATAGGGAAATAAATGATTTGTTGTACGGAGCTCTTAAACTGTGCAGTGACAATGTCATTTAACCTTGTACTTTCTTTTGTGATGCATCCTTGCAGGGGTACATACCATGAACTGGATAGCTTGCTGCTTGGATAAGGGACAAATGTTTCGGTTCTTTTCATCACCCTTCATCATTTCTGATGCTGCCAACTCATGTGACCCTGAGCTACCAGTAGTGGCAAACATGTGTTCTACCTTAAGACCTGAGAAACTTTGGTTTAGGTATGATTGATCTCATACAGTAAAAAAAGTTGGGTCTTCGGTACATGCATGGGAAAGATTGATTTTAAAACCAAGGGTTTACATCTCACAAGATTTAGTGTGTATCATCTTTTGGTTCACATCTGCCCTTTTCATGTGCTCCTTACCTGTACTCCACATAAACTACTGCTCTTGCCTGGCCCAGGTTGGAAGGTCACGCACACACCACCATCATTTATGTTTGACAAATGTAGGTTATCCATTTCATGAAAGCTGTGCCACTGTTTTGTTAATCTATCATTCTTAGTATTTTATTGCTAGAACAGTGCAATTGGATTCTTTATAGCATAGCATGACAGGATCTCATTAGGTGGGGAGCCGTTGTACTTGCAAATTGTGCCCTGGACCACCATTTTGGGACTCTTAAAAGTTGATACTATTATATTAGGTAATCATGAAACCCTTACTTGTTTCATGTGATTTGATAAATTAGGAGGTAGGTTATCTCTCCGGCTTTGTTTTAGGAAGTTTAATCTTCCCTATAGTTGGTAAGTCACATAAAAATTGGATCATAGGAATCATTCATAAGAGAAATTTTTTATTCGAATTCCGAAGTCACTCATGTTCTTTCTTATCAGGCATGAAGGAGTGAAATTATTCATAGACTGCTATGGCTATAATGTACAGTTTTGCTTTCATAAATTAGAGTAGCTTCTATTACAGAACACATATGGTTGGCAAGTTGGTTAAGGGGTACTTTTTTAATGGCTCATGTCTAGGGGTTCCAGCCTGATGTGATGCAGCACTTTGGTCAAGAGTCTGGAATGTGAAGGTGAGGTGCTTCAGATTTTGGATGTATTTAATTAATGAAATTTCATCACCCAACATTTCTTCCTGTGATCCATGAAAGACTAGCAAATGATAGTTTTGCAGTTTGGTCTCAATCTAGTCCAAAATTCTGCTGGAGACACTTCCACCTCTGCATCCTGATACACTAGAAGAATTATATATGTAGACATATCCACATACACACACACCTAGCTTCTCATAGGCGGCTTTGACCCATCAAGCTGGTTCACCCCTTTTGCTTATAAAAGGTAGAAAGAAACATGCAAGAGAAACAATAAAGATAGCACTGACCAATTTGTTCATGTTGCAGTAGTAAAGTAGTTGTAGATTTATAGTCTTTTTGTTTAGCTGGGTAAGATGGTGGATGCTGATCTTTCTTGGATCTCATATAAATGGAACCAAAGGAAGCTATTGGAATGAATTTACATGTTCCTGTTCAAGTTAGTAGACCGAGCATCACTTTTGTGATTTTGCAGATGTTTTTGCCTGAGTGGATCAAGGTTCTGATGTAGCTTCAGAGAGGCTCTTGTTTCATTGACCAAGCCATCTGTCAAACTGAGGTTGCTTTCCACTTGTCTCTTGTCAGTGGTCAGCTCAAAAGCAGATGCTTCGATAGAGGTTGACTTATTGCTTGGATAGTTATTAAGTTTTCTGAAAATAATATTTTTGGTTAAGTTAAGAACATTTAAATTTCTATTTATATTAATGTTTCATCTTTTCTGGTAATAGTTGTGGTACATATTTGCATCAATTTAAATGATTTTTTTGTCATTCTATCTTTTCTATCAACAGAGAAGATAAGTTGTCTAACTGAGCTGCAGGTTTAGTAGCACTGTAGATGTAAATAAGATTGCAGATGACAAATCTGAGCTTGACATATGGTCCTACTACATTGGAAACTCTAATTTTCATCTCTCTCTTTCTCTCTCTACTGCGTCACCTATTTCAGTACCAAACCAATCACTGCTTACACCTAAAGAAGCAATGGATTAGAAAAGTCTTCCCTCTTATATCAATCAGGTCATGCCCATCTGCTTGCATTCCTAAGTTTGAACAAAGAGGATGGAAGAGAATGCATCTTCTACCCTAAACATTATAATAAACATATTCCTCAGCTCTTTATCTCTCCATCGTGGACCAGTGCACATCATATCTCCTCTTTCCTTCCGCCTTCCCCTGCTCTCCTCCCTCATCCCTCTTCCCTCTTCAATCCTTCTCTGTTTTGGAGATTGCAGCAACTGAGTGCGAGCAGAAGAAGAGGAACAAAGCTCTGTAAGAATAAGAGGGAACGAGAGACAGAGAAGCTGGCGGCTAATCCTTGGTGGGCGGGGCAGCCGGGCCTTCCCGGAGGAGAGATGGGATCCTCCGATCCCAAGAGCCACGAGCAGGAGATGGGGGTGAAGGAATCCGACACCACCGGGAGCGGCGGCGGAGGCAGCGGTGCCGCCGAGGACGAGAAGGACAACGACAGCGAGCCGAGGGAGGGTGCGATCGTCGCCAGCACCCGCCGCCCCCGTGGCCGCCCCCCGGGGTCCAAGAACAAACCCAAGCCCCCCATCTTCGTCACCCGCGACAGCCCCAACGCCCTCCGTAGCCACGTCATGGAGGTCGCGGGCGGCGCCGACATCGCCGAGTCCATCGCCCACTTCGCCCGCCGCAAGCAGCGCGGCGTCTGCGTGCTCAGCGGCTCCGGCACGGTCGCCAACGTCACGCTCCGCCAGCCCGCCTCGCCCGGCGCGGTCGTCGCCCTCCACGGCCGCTTCGAGATCCTGTCCCTCACCGGCACCTTCCTCCCCGGCCCCTCTCCGCCCGGGACCACCGGACTGACGGTTTACCTGGCCGGTGGGCAGGGCCAGGTGGTGGGCGGCAGCGTCGTGGGGTCGCTCATCGCCGCGGGGACGGTGATGGTCCTAGCTTCCACGTTCGCCAACGCTACCTACGAGAGGTTGCCGCTCGAGGAAGCTGAGGAGAGCGTCGGTGGCGGCCTCCCGGTGCAGCTGCATGGTGGGGTGGCGTCACTGATGCCCGGGGCCGGAGGGCTGCCGGACCCCTCGGCGCTGCCCATCTACAACTTGCCGCCGAATCTGGCACATAACGGCGGCGGCCAGATGGGGCACGACGCCTTCGAATGGGCTCATGCGCGGGCTCCATTCTAACAGGAGAAGCATCACAAGAGTACGTAGCCTCTTTACGTAGAAGTCAATGGAGCTCACACAGGTTGAGCTCTCAGTTATTTCTGCCTACCATGTAGTTGTAGCAGTAGCAGTAGCGGCAGTGTGTTGTCTTTGGACTCCTGACAAATTAAACCACTAATAAACAGTATGATGATGATGTTATTACGATTACAAGTAGTGATTCCTTGTGATGGTTCATTGGATTATGATTACAAGCACATGAATTCTTCTTCACCCTATAGAATTGGTCATATAGTTTCATTTGAGTCAATCCATTGCTAGCCTTCTGGTACTGATGATTGCTATGAGCTAAGCCTTCATTCATCAAAGAAGCTGATGCCAAAAAAGTAGGCATAATTATCATGGCATATTAATTCCACTTCTTTGATCATCCATCAAGTAGTGATGCCAATATTCCACCTATGTCGATTGATTTCGGATTTCTTCTTCCTCCTCTCAACCCCCAGCATGTTAGTCTCCAAGTGCTTTCTCCATTGAAGACCAGTGTCGACCCAGGAAGAACTAAGGCACACGATGGACATGAAATGAACATTAATCTGCTGTGGCAGAAGGCCAAGTCTTCCTCTGACAAACATCAACCGGATCTCATAATCTATTCCCCAAACCACCTATGTTTTTGTTCACTGACTTGATGATTAGTTTATCATGGTAGTGCTAGCAATGAAACTTGATACAATTTAATAATGTTGATATCATCCCAGCTAATCTCTACCATTTTCATTATGATGAGTTTGTTCTTCCTTCTTAATCCGAGGTTTCGACTACAGATCCATCAGTAGTAGCTTTTGATTCGAACCACTCTTTTGCTTGTGTCGATCACTATAAACTACTTGAAAATACTCAGAGTAGACCTAATTTTCAGCAGGTTAGGTTAACATTTGCATCTTAGAACTGTTGATCGCCGTACCACTACCTGTTTAATTACTGCCATAGTTCTCAACTCCAGAGATTTCGTTGACAAACCGCAGCTGAAGAAAAGTCTTTGGCATCAAGATGACATGACCAGGCAACTCGACAGTGTCTCCACGATCACAAAATGCTGTAGCAACAGTTCCTCGTGTTTTCAGTTTGTTCAAACTTGATGATGGTTTTCTGTTTTGATTCGTAACATCTAAATCTTCCTGTAACGAAGAGGAACAGGAAGCAGAAAAAGATTTGACTCAGAATTGAAACGAAGGAAAGCCTAATAGCTAGGCAAAGGAAAAGATTGCATGTGGAGATCATGTCACTGTCTTTCTCTTTCAAGATCTTGTTTGTGGATGGATAGACTAGACATCACTTCACAATTGTCGCATGGCATTGCATCAAAGTCCATCCATGGCTCGTATATATGATGTAAGGACTCGATCCAATAAAGACTAGATTGAAACAGCCAACATCAGTCATGACGAAATCGTAAGCTGCTGCTTTCAAGTCTCATGCAATAGCCGCAGTTAAAGACTCGTTTAGTTAAGTTAGATTGACTGCTACTTTGTCGTTTATTTTCCCAACATCATACTCATATTCACACTGATTTGGTCGAAACAGTGAGATCGATGCCGACGTTATAAACATAGTTTTATGGAGAGGAAGTTTGATCTGAACAGGTTTTAACCATGGCAAGAGCTTCCTCGTTTGGTGATGATGGATGAACTTGGCACTGAGCTTGAGAGAGAATCCACTGATCAACATGCACAAACAATTGCTGTCAGTGGCAACAGGAAGGGGGACCATGCATAGTAAGATCAAGTGAGATTTCAAGTTAAATATGTCTGCTTCGTGGCCATATTCCTTCGGTAGTTTGATTACGATCGTTGATGGAGCATCATCTTCTCCATGAAAGTAGACCACTTTAAGGTGTCATTCATTGTTTAGTGAGTGCAAACAAACATTTCCAGATCTCAAAGCCATGCTATGTATGCCCTCCTCCTGTCTTCTCATTTGAAGTAAACCCAGGATAATATTCTCACAAACCTTGTGGTTTAGTTCGATAGGATAATAGACAGAGAGAATCTGCAAGATCATGAGGATTGGTAAAGCTTATTAGTGGCGTAAGCATGTAATCAAACAGTAGAGTCGAAGACTGATGCGAAACCAAGGGAAAGAAAAGTCCAGTTAATGCGCTTCTTTTGACTAGCTAATCTTGCTTGCATGCATGAGAACAAGAAGATGGTCCTCACCTCTCGATTGCACATAGTTTGACCAGGAAAGTGTAGCACTAACGACAAAAGGTGGACAGGATGTTTCATGCAGAAAATTCTACCGCGAATGATAAGCTGTGCTTCATGTGTCCTAACGTAGGTCAAAGAAGATGGTCACAGTCATCTCCTCTTACCACAAGTCAAAAGATGCGCATCCATACTGAAAGATGACCAAGTTAGATAAATGAAAGTGAAGGATACAAACTGAGATAAAAGTCCTACTAACAAATTTAGACGGCCAATAAATGACATATGTATATATATATATAGCTACTACTTCTATGATTCACAACTAATCCACAAAGGGAATCATCCAACCAATAGATAAGATAAATTATTAGGGAGGAAGAGAAAACACTCAAGACCAAAAAAAAAAATTAATAGAGATCAATAATTAAAAATATTATCACTTTTCGTATTAACAAAGGCATAACGATTTTATCAACTCAAGATTAATACATGAAAAATAATGCTTATAAGGAATACATAATCAATCAACCATGCAAACACCATATAAGATATGTGAGAAAAAAAGATTTAGACGACTTGACTTGACATTCGCTTGCTCGTATAAATAAAAGTCTAATAGGTAACTCAAGTCAGTTATCAATCGTCTTTCCATTTGAAATATTTATAAAAATATTCGCAAAAATCCAATGATAGTTGGGTTGGTTATCAACTGTATTCCCTAAGAATATTCACAGGAATATTTTTGAAAATTCAGGGGACAACTCGGGTCGGTTACAAACCAACTGCCTCCCCTACAGAATATTCACAAAAATATTTTTAAAAGTCTAGGGGTAGCTCATATCGATTATAAACCGTCTCTCTTGTAAAATTTTTACAAAATATTTCATTTCTTCAAGGTCAAATATAAAAATATACCCTCAACTCTAAGTAAAGAGACACAAATCGAGAACTTAGATAAGTTGACTTAAGCGTCGGAGGGACTAGCTCAGGTAACCTCTCCTGACTTCGATCTTTATACAAGTTAGGTCAAGAGAAGACGCTTTTCATCTTGCACGACTTCGTGCATACGGATCAGGGCTATATTATACTGACAAAGATGTTAATAATATTTTTTCCTAATAATATCATAATTTGATAATAAATTAGATGAAATAAGTTGTCTAAAATCTTATTCGACTAGTAAATCAGTGTACATATCCGATCTGATCCAAATCAAATCAAATATAAACCAAAACAGGCTCGATCCTTCGTGAGAGCGGGAGCTTGACACACCCAAAGGCCACGAATCGTTACGCTTCCCAATTAGGCCGGAGCTTATTGAACCAACGTGAACCGGCCCGCCCAGCTTACTGCGCCGCATCTAGATGGGTTCGGTCTGCCCACATTTGAGCCGCTCAATAGCAGAACCGTCTTGGATCGGGATGAGTATTGGGCTGGTCTAATTGAATCGGGCCTTCATGGGCTTCCAATGTGGCTCGCGTGGGAAGCTTATCGGGACGACACGTGCAAGAGAAAAAGGGGACCCGTAGGATGCGCACGGCTACCCCGACGTCACCCCATCCGTCGCTAAACTCCAAAGTCAAAAAGCCAACTCCCGACACCGCAGCGTGCGAGGGCAGAAGATGACGACAGCCCCCACCATAAACAAAAGATTAGTGTCTAATGACTCCACTAATCACTTTCTCTCCTCGCGTCCCCGTGTTTACCCAGCACGAACCCGTCTACTTACCGCCAGCCGTCCCTCCCCCACCCTCTCGGGCCCACCGGGGTGGAGCTCACGCGGTTTCCCGGCGGGCCCCCCGCGGGCGCACGTGGGGTGAGCTGCGCGAGCTACGAAACGAACAGCTGAGAAAACGCTTTCACCGATATCATGTCAAGTCGTCGAGGCACACGTGATGTTGGCGGGTAAAGTTACTTAATTGCCCTCACCCTTATACACCATTTACTATCGCGGTGTGGAACAATCTTGACCGTTCGTTTCGCGTTGGATGCGTTGAAGAGGCGTCTGCAATGGGAGAGTGGCGGGTAGGTAAAGTAGTAAATAGATGCAGATTTGGAGTCAAGAGTTTGGTGCCGTGTTTGACCTTCGTAGCTTTTTATTTTTATTTTTTTCTGCAGGAAATTGAAGATTCTTTTTCTTTAAAATGGTTCGGCTCATTCAACCCCCACTTTAACCTCGCCTTCTTCTCCGCACTGCCCCCGTCTCTCTCGCTCCGTCTCTCCCAACTCCAATTCCCTTCCGTAGAGGATTCGGCTCTCGAATCCCAGCGATTTTTCTCGGTGATTAGGCGATTCTTGTCGGGAATTTTGGTCTCGCGGTGGCAAATTCACGTTCGACGACGGGATTTGAGCTGTTCTTGCCGGAACTGTGGTACGTGATTGGGGGGATTTGGGGGACTTGGGGGTAGATTTTGGGAAAGTCTTCCTCTTTCTTATCGGGAAGGGGAAGAGATGAGGGGGATTCATAGTAGCGTGGAGACCGTGAATGCCGCGGCGGCGGCCATCGTCTCTGCTGAAAGCCGGGTTCAGCAGGTCGCCGTTCCGGTTAGTTGTCATTCTCTCTTCCTTGTTCTTGTGCCCTAAGTTTTTAATTTGGTTGTTATTGTTGTTAATTTTTTTCACCTTAATCAGTTCAGATCTACAAGAAATTGTTGTATGGAACGGTTTTTTTTGGGGTGTATAATTGCTAGGGTATCTTAAAAGAGGAATTTTTCGGATCAGCTTAATTTGGCAGGGAGCTTATAACTGCTCGGGGATTTGATTATGCTAGATTTCAATTGCTTCTTCGTAGGTTTACGTTGTTTAGAGGTTGTATAATTTTTAGTCAACTGTTTATGAACTGATATCAGTGATCGGAGATGAATATAGAGTGTGTCTAATATGTAGATTATGTGGCCTTTTGTAAGGATGCCTTAAGCTTAATACTTATGTAAATGCTTATCATCAAAAAGGTCTTGTTCCATTAAATTGATCTAAACAATCGACTATGCTCTCTAATACTGAGAACAGGATCTCGGGGTTTATAAATTCGAACACTAGGAGGAGATGGTGAACCATATCTTCACTTTTTGAGATACTGCTTCAGAAAATAGCTTATCTTGTAGGTTTGATGACAGTTAAGATAACACTTATTGTATTTTTTTCCAATCAGCACAACACTTTACTACTCAAGTTAATTAAGCAAGGATTTTAATATTTTGATTATTTAAGTGACAGGAAATGGTTAGTGCACCTTGTTCTTTATTATTTTTCTTATGGTTGTTTACCGGTATGTTTTCATACTAAATGTGTTTCACTTCACCAAGGTTTTTGTTTTGGCATGTGTTTTGTGCCTCTCTCTTGGGTGCAAGAACTTTGCATCTTATTACGTCTGAACCCTTAAACAATTGGAATGAAGCAATTGAAGGATCATGAAAAACAATATGTTAGCAAAGGGATATAACATGGAGGAACATAATCAATCATTTTGATGCAAATACCTGGGCACTGCCTTTACAAGGATGAGTACCCCCGGACCTCTTCAAGAAGAGGAGGGAAGCCAACCTCTGAACTAGTCAAACATGGAAAAGTTTGTGTCACCAATGTGTCCAAGCCTTGCAAAGTTTCTATATGTTCATTGTAACTGGGCTTCCATATCAAATTTCAGAAGCATATGATTTGTTATTCTCTTTATATTAGAATAATAATAGTGTCTTTCATGTTTGCTATACGTAATTACTATTTAGCATCAAGATTAGACTACATGCATTGGCTCTTCCTAAATCTCGCATAAACGGAAGCCTCACCACTAGGCAGCCCTTTTTAACTTTTAGCATCATAAATTATGAGATACCTGGCCTCTGCCCATTACTGGGTGGGTTAATATGAATGCATTAATGGCACAACATCTTAAAATATTTAGGTCTGTGTTATCCTGCGAATTATGTTGAGTCACTCTGTCTCTGCAATCTGCGAGGAACTTCTATTTGTTCCATCTGCATGTTAAAGTTCATGGGCTTTTCAGACTATGCTAGTAATGCTATACAAATATATACTTTTTTGGATTCCATCAATATTAATTTGTCTTTTAACTGCCAGAGGAAAAGATGGACTGCCTGGCTCAGTGTGTATTGGTGCTTTGGTTCTCATGGAAATGGCAGGCGCATCAGCCACGCAGTCCTTGTTCCTGAACCAGCATTTTCTGTGTCAGATGCCTCTGCACGTAGTAATCCAAGCCATCCACCTGAAGTGAGACTTCCATTTATTGCACCTCCTTCTTCTCCAGCATCCTTTCTGCCATCAGGTATCCCATCTGCAACACAATCACCTGCAGGTCCGGTATCTCTTTCTGCTTTGTCACGAAGTTCCTATTCTCCAAGTGGCCCAGCTTCCATCTTTGCTATTGGGCCCTATGCAAATGAGACCCAATTAGTTTCACCCCCTGTCTTTTCCACCTTCACAACTGAACCTTCGACTGCTCCACTTACTCCCCCACCAGAACCTTTCCATCTCACAACCCCTTCATCGCCTGAGGTACCATTTGCCAAACTGTTGACTTCTTCCATCGATGCTAACTGTAAGAAGAGTGAAGCGTATGAGTTTCAATCCTACCAGTTTTATCCTGGAAGCCCAATAGGTTGCCTCATATCACCAAGTTCGGCTTGCTCGGGTACTTCATCGCCTTTCCCTGATCCTGAATTCTATTCCTCTGCTGCTGGCTCCTTCCAATCATTCCTTATTGGTGAACCACCAAAAATCTTAAGTGCTGAAGGAATTGCTGCACGGAAACTTATACCCCGACATGCTCGAAATGATGGATCACTTTTGGATGGTCAGATATCAGCAGCTGCATCAGTAGTGGACCCTGCTATTGTGCCTAAGATTAATGAACACACAATGGATCACAGGGTATCATTTGAGTTAACCGCAGAAGAGTTTGCACGGCGCTTGGAAAAGAAAGTAGCAATGTCAGGTGAAGGTAAATTAGAAATATTGACTGCAAGAAATGACAAAGCCAATCCTTCTTTAGGAACCGATAACAGCAGCAGAATCAGCATTGATGATACCTACCATGACTTGCCCGAGAAAGCTCAGCCTCTTGTTACTCCAGCTAAAGAATTCAAATTTGATAATTCAGATGGTGTTGCTTCGGAGCCTAATGTTGGTTCAGACTGGTGGGCCAATGAGAAGGTCGCTGGCACGGCAACTGAACATCGGAAGAGCTGGGCATTTTTCCCAATGATACAACCAGGGGTAAGCTGATTGGTAATTTTGCTTTGCTTCATGTACATCAGGGAAGGATCGTCAACTGTTAATTAGGTCCATTATCAGTCACGAGAGACAGACATGTTGGGGATCATGATCCACCTGTGAATATCTTTGTTTGGGTAAACAGTGAAGCATGATAATTGGCTATATGAACTTGATTTCGAGACAATACTGATGGTCTTATCTCACCTGCATTGGACAGAAATAAAGAGAGGATTTCACGCTCTTGATCTGTATTAACCGTTGTTACACTTAAATAGTCTACTTGCCTTCTTGCTGACTAATAATCAGAAACAAAAGTCCTTTGTAACATATTTCATGAACTCATATAGTATGTTCAAAACCTTTTTCTAAGTGCCTTTATGTATCTGATCCAATTTTTCTTCAGTGATATGTCTTGTTATCCTCAGGTTCATGCCCCTTCCAGTGTAACTTTGAGGTCTTCATCGTCCGAGTATGCTTACCTGGACACATTCACTGCAATTCAACGCATTTGAGTGCTTTTAGATTATCTAAATATATTTATTTGTAGGTTTAAAACATAAGAGACAGCATGCAATGTGGTATTCTTATGGTATTTGGTCTTGTAGCCTATATTTGTTGTCCTCTTGGTTGATTTGTAGTTGTGATGAGAACAGGAACTCCATCCCAGTTTTACATCAAGGAAAACAATTAAGCATGTCTCTGTCTTCATCTTTTAGGGGAGAATTGACTTCTCCCCATGTTTTCTAGCCCTCCAAATCTTCAACATAATCCATAAACACCATCATATCCATGTCCAACCACAGTATTTGGATTAATGCTCATTCAGAACTACAAAAACATCATCAACAAGTATGTCAGGCAATCCAATTAGCCTTTTCCTAGCTAATCTTCTCCTCTGTGGTTGGACATGCCTTTCACATTCATTCTGTTGCCTCAGAAAGCATTTGCCACAATGGTAGCATCGGAAACAAGGGAGTGGTTGTCCACTAAGAGCTGCAAAGTTCTCACTGGATGCTGAAGGGAGAGTCCACCTGAAGTTGGGAAGATGAGTGGTTATGGGGTCATTATCTTTCGATGGTTCCTCTGTCACAGCCACACCTATCAATTCCAACTCACAAACTTCATGTGGCGCTCCACAGCAACTGGTCACACGATTGGTCCATTGCTGTTGTTGCTGCTCGGCATCTGCATTTAGTGCCAGTGATAGCGTTGGAGCTTGTGGCCATGACATCATTTGTAGCTCCCACCATGATATTTAACTCCGAAAGCTGCTGTTCTGCAGCTGTCTGTTGGATTGTTGGTAGAATTAAGCTTTTAGCTTAATGGTGAAAGGTCGACAGTCGGTGAAACAAGTTTTGACTCTCCAGCTGCAAGCCAGCAAGAAACAGCAGCACAAAGGAAGGATGGATGAAATGATTTGGAGTCTAATTTGCCTCGTCCCAAGGCATTCACTCTCTTCCTAGTTAATGCTCATCAGAATCTGGAGCAATCTTCTCTGACTCTTTTGTTTCTCCAGCATATTTATTGGCCACCGAATTCATCTCTGTTGGAAATGTGTGTGTGTGTGCAGCTCTGTTTCTGGACTGCATTGCAGCAATCAGATGCCACACAATTCCCTTTAATCTCTACCTCTCTCTCTTCATCTTCTCTCTCTGTCTGATGTGAGATGTGCTGCCAAGTTGCCAATTATTGTATAAGAGATTGCCGTGCTCTCCGGCAAACTACCGGTGTTGTTCCAGTCCACTTCCCACTCATGCAGCTTCTGAAGCGAAGGGCAAGTTGTCTGTGGTTGGATCTAAGATGCAATTTATTTTGCTCCTGGCTCACCAAGATTCAGCAACATGATGCCATCATCATCCATGCCATTACAATAAGACCAGTAGAACAAGTGTGAGAGAGCTGTGCATGTTTTAGATCGGAGAAGTATTCGTTTCTTGCACCTTTCGTGACTCACACGACCAGAAAGAGAGCCACTTGGTTGGCCATGAATCTGTCCTGCTCTGGTGCCCAGAAATGTCCTAAGATCATCTCAATCCAAAGTATGGCTTATGCTTATCTGGCTTCGATCTTAAATCAAAACACTTGGAATATGAAGGCCTAAACAAATCCAAGTCAATTGCTTCTCAATCATGTAAGCATTAGCAGCAGCTCAGCTGTATCCTTCTTCAGAACTGTGGAAACAGGAGGGGGGTGAGAGAGACAGGGGCAGAGGGAGACGCTTTTAATGAATGCTGAGATATGTGGATGTCTGCTTACACTTCCACCACTACTACCAGTCCCCACTGTTCTCAGCACTAGCAGTTTTTAGTAGTTGGAAACCAGCAAACCACAAACAGCACACCACACACTGTCTCCACTCCTTCAATTAAGTACACGGCAAAGAGAAAGCAAGCAGAGCAGGAAATCAGAAGGCTGTGGAGGAGTCCAGTCTAGCAGGCTGATCTTGTCATCAACAATCCTTGGTTTCCTTCAAAGCTAACCCTCTCTCTCTCTCTCTCTCTCTTGTGGAGGAGGCAGCAGCCTCTCCACTTGTCTTTTTGAGGCTTTAACTCCTATTAACGAAGCTTAGGTAACAGTCAAGTGTTCACTGCTCTCTCTCTCTCTCGCTCGGCCCATCTACAAAGTATGCCTTTCTTGATCGTTGGTCTCCCTAGCGTTTCTGTTGTGGTTCTGTATGAGCTGTGTGGAAGTGAGGTTGGAAATGGAAGGACAGGCCGGACTTGCTCTCGGTTACTGTTCATGGTGGTCACATAAATACAAAGCCTGGTCACAATCCACTCACTCTATATATATATATCGACAGCCCTCCCTCTTTCTTCCCACTCTCTTCTTCTAATTCTCTTCTCCGTCTTTGTTTTCTCTCTTTCGTCTGTGTTGGAAATCTTGAGACGTGGGGATGGATGCTGTGGAGGATCAGAACATTCATAGCGTGAGCAGTGACAACAGCCACAGCAATGGCCGGTTCGCCAACGCCATCGTCAAAGGCAAGAGGACGAAGCGGCAGAGGGCGGCCGCAGCAACCTCCGTGTCCCCGGCTTCGTCTACCTCGTCCGCTGAGCTCTCCAGCAGCGTTACAGAGGAAGAGGAGGACATGGCCAATTGCCTTATCCTCCTCGCTCAGGGCCGTTCGTTAGTTGCAGGTGCAGAGAATGAAACCGCGGTGGAGAACGCCAGCCAGGCCGAGAAGTCCACCGTTCGCAAGCTCACCGAGACGGCCACGACCACGAACGGGAAGCCCGGCGTCTATGTGTATCAGTGCAAGACCTGCGACAAATGCTTTCCTTCCTTCCAAGCGCTCGGCGGGCACCGCACGAGCCACAAGAAGCCGAAGCTGGCACCGGTGGACGACGGAGACGGCCCACAAATAACCATGAATTCTCCGATCGCAAAGCCTTCCGTGGCGTCACACATCATCAACATCAACAAGCCCAGGGTGCACGAGTGCTCGATCTGTGGAGCGGAGTTCTCCTCGGGGCAGGCTCTCGGCGGCCACATGCGGCGGCACCGCCCCATAACCGAGTCATCGGAGGCCAAGAAGGAGAAGAACGTCCTCCCCTTGGATCTCAATCTCCCCGCACCATCAGATGATGACTCCCAAGCCCTACCCAAGTTGCCACCTCCAGCCGCGGCCTTCCCCTTTGAAACTCAGCAGCCGCTTGTTTTCTCAGCCTCGGCTTTGGTGGATTGCCATTACTGACCAATCAATACATGGAAGCAAACCTCTCCTCCTCCTTTCTTGTCTTCATTTCTTTGTTCTGAACTATGGCATATCAAATGAATTGTATTTAACTGAACATATATAATTGATTCTTTGCATTCGTCTTTGATGTGATGAGAGAAGGAAGGAAGCCACTGAGCTGTTGAAAGCGGAGTGAGTGCAAAGGGTACTCTTTGAGTTTTAGTTCTAGTAGCTTTCCTCTCTCTCTCTCTCTCTCTCTCTCTCTCTCTCTCTCTCTCTCT